CGCCGGGGCGGGGGGACTTCCCCGGGCTGCCCCCGCCCGCTTGGGGCCGGGGTTCCCTCGCCGCCCCCCCCTCCCGCAGCGCCCCCGCAGCCCGTTGCCGCCCTGCTGTAGACGGGATGCGGTTTTCTGTTAGAAATGAGGGGCAGGGGGAGGAGATGGCGCGCACGCGGAGCGATGAGTGTGCGGTGTCAATCACGGGGGTTTTGTGTCTCCTTGACTCCTGACGGTCCGTGGCCGAGGTGTCCCGGGTGGCACCACCATGAATATGAATGGGGGTCCTCGCTAAATGGGACAGTCAAAGCGCACCGCCCTGAATAATGGCACGTCATCCTAACTAGACCATTATACATAGGAGGGCTCCTTTTGTCTCTGCTCTCTGCTGCAGCGCTATAAAAGCCCCTCTTTTGCAGGCTGAGGTTAGTCCAAGCACACACTAACTGGCCCTCCCGTAAACAGGCTGAGTAACCGGGGGGAGAGAGAGAGAGACTGGCGAGAGAAGGGGCTGAGGGGCTGCTTTCCCCTTCCTCTGGCATTCCCAGCCCCTCGCTGGCAGAGCCTGCCGCCCGTTGATTTCCTTTTCGTTCTGTTTTCCTTGCTTTTTGGAGGAGAGTTGTCTTGTTCCGCCACCTCCAGAACAGCGAAGAGTTTTATTGCTCGGAAGCCCGAATACAATGAATTCTGACTCCAGCTCTGTCTCCAGCAGAGCTTCCTCGCCAGACATGGATGAGATGTACCTGAGAGACCACCACCACCACCACCACCACCACCACCACCAGGACAGCCGGCTCAACTCCGTCTCCTCCACCCAGAACGACCTGGTGCAGAAGATGTCAGGGGAAGGCCTCTCCAGGAACGGCTCCAAGGCTGGAGGGGAAGGCAGCAAGTACAAAATCAAGAAGCAGCTCTCGGAGCAGGACCTGCAGCAGCTACGGCTGAAGATCAACGGCCGGGAGCGTAAGAGGATGCACGACCTCAACCTCGCCATGGACGGGCTGCGGGAGGTGATGCCCTACGCCCACGGGCCTTCCGTGAGAAAACTCTCCAAAATCGCCACCCTCCTGCTAGCCAGAAACTATATCCTGATGCTCACCAGCTCCCTGGAGGAGATGAAGAGGCTGGTGGGTGAGATCTACGGGGGCCACCACTCGGCCTTCCACTGCAGCACGGTGGGACACTCCGCCGGGCACCCTCCCCACGCCGCCGGCGGGCGG